CAAAAAAGAAAACTTTAAATTTTAAAAAGTGTTTGAGTGTTGTGTTGTGTGGTTAATATTTCTTTTACAAGTATAATAATTTTATGTCGATTTGAAATTATAAAATGTAAAGAAAAATTTGTGAAACAAATTTTTATTTTAAAACTTAAAATATAAATTTTAGTTAATTTTTCACAAACAAATTATATTAGGTTATTATAATAAAAATTATGTAGATAAATACATTTATGATATGTAGGGTCCATCATTTAAAAAAAAGGAAATGTGAGGATTATTATGGGTGATGGGTGCTCAGCGGGAAGGGTTATGTGGCACGGGAACGGAAGGGGAAACCGCTCCCCATGTGAGAACGGGAAAAGGCGGAATCCCCTTCATACCCATTTTCCTCGTTGGCCTTTAATGATCGGTTTTATTTTTATTTTTTGTTGAAAGTAACGGTTGGGAATAAAAAAATTGAAATTCAAAAAATTTTACTATTTAAACACAACACTCCACTCATCCTTTTGACACACTTTCCTTTCATTTCTTTGATTTTTAGTACTATTTCTGCTGGATAAATTTCATATTTTTAAATACCATGGACTCATTCCAATCATCATTGTCTTCCTCTGATTCCCCCTTTTATTCATATGCGGCTTACGCTCAAGGTGTGAGTTCATTCTAAATGGAACAATGTCAACAATGACAACAAATTCAATGACAACACTTTTAGAACCTGCATCACCCGACCGTCCCAACCACCAGCACGCTGCCATCGCATGCGACTGCTCCCACACAGGACGTCCCTTTCAATGTCGAATACGATATCGATGAGGTTGTGTGCGACACGCAACCTCCAAAAGTTGAAAGAGAAAGGGAAATGTGAAGTGGGACCAAAAACTACTCGGAGTACTCCAAAACCTTGGACCATGGCTGAGGAGGGAGCGTTAGCCAAAGGTTGGGTTAACTTAAATTAATTTTTTTATATCTAAAATTAGATTTTTCATTATATATTATTTTTTTAAATTTTTTTTATCACTCATGTATAGGAAATGCTCAGACGAGTGATGAGTTTTGAGGTTAAGTCATTGACAAATTCTATGAGTTGATGAATTCAAAGGCATGCGCCGCCTTATTCACTCCATAGCTTCCAAGTACCACGATATGAATAAAAACTTAAAAAATTAGTTGTATCCATAACAACATTTACTTGAACCTTGTGAGCGGCTCGAGTGATCAAAACGTGCTGCATCAAGCGCTTGATTTACAAATTACTGGAGCATTTACAAATTACATTAGTAGGCTTGAATAGTAATAGGCTGTTTGGTTGAGGAGAAATTGGGAGGAAAGAAAATGAATGGAGAGAAAACACAAATTTCAAGGTGTTTTATTTTGTTTGGTTAGAAGAGAATTGGTGAGGAGAAGAGAAAAAGGAGAGAAAAGTTAGCCTTAAAGTTTTCTCTCCACATGGGAGAAGAAAATCGTAGGTTGGGAAGGAAAACAAGCAAAATTACTATATTACCCACTCTATTTATAATTTTAGTATTCTAGAGTAAGGGTAAATGTGTCTTTTTGTTTTATTACATTTTCTTTCTTCTTCTCATTTTCCTTTCACTTTCTACCCATCCAAACAATAAATATTTTCTCTTCATTTTCTTTCCTCTCTATTTTCTTTCCATCCATTTTCTTTTCACTCATTTTCTCTATTTATCCAAACAATGGCTAAATGTATTTCCAAAGGGGAATTTACCTAAATAAGACTAAAACATAATGACTTTCTAAATATATGACCATATCTTTTTATTTCCCAATGTAGAACCACTGGTCATTGTCCATTAGTCATTATTCAAGTAAATATTCACCATCACTAAATATTTTTTTCTCACTAGACATTATTAAATCCTATTTAGCTAATAAGCTTTCTTGGTTGCTGGTCTAGGTTGCTCCCGCACTTTTTCTTTCTTCGACTCCTCTCTCAGACCTTGCCTGATGGTTTGGATGTTCAAGTTGTCCATGTCCATTCTCTAGAAGGCATTCAAATAAGCTTTCTTGGTGGCAGGTTGATCACCAAGGGCTCGCCCAATGCCTTCTGGGTCCTAAATTTTAGACATAAATGTTCGAGGGATAGGGCTCATCCCAGGCCCTGGAGTCTTGGACTCTCCAAAATGACATTGTGAGCATACTTGATGTCTACTACCACAAAGTCCATCTTCATGTTCCTCACCCGGGGATGTTCTCATATGATCACGTCCAATTTTATGAACTCCTCTAGCTTAATGATGTCTCTCGTGAAGGCGGAAAGAGGCATTCTGAGTTTCGTGAGATCCTCTTTCTTGATCCCAATCGTTGAGCTGCTTTCCAGTTTAACGCATTGACATTACTTCTTGCATCAACCAATATTCTTTTCACAAAAAAATTATGAATTTCTATATAAATTACCAGGGGAGTCCTGTGTGGGCCTAGTGTAAGTGGCAAGTCCTCGTCAAAGAACAAGAAGGGTTTTGTCTTTTCTTTCTTGGCGATCTCTCCAATATCAACATATCTCACGTATAGCTTGCGAGCCCACTCCTTCCTTTCCCTGGTAGTGGTTTGTGTCTACGACCCCCACAGATGACACCAACTTGCGAGAATCCTTCAAGTTTCTTCTAGGCTGGTTGTTGATCTTGCGCTAACCTCTGCCTACTCGTTGGCTCCTGGTTTACTCTTTGGCCTCTCTCCTTTATCTGATCTTCCATATTTTTGAGGAAGACACACTTCTCTGCAGAATGTCCCTCTTTTCTGTGTAAATCACAAAACTTAGCTGGGTTACAGGGCTACTACTTCCTCTTTTGTTCTCCACGCGTTCTCTTTTGTCCTTCCTCCTCATTCCCTCCTATTTAGAGAAACTTAGCTGGAGGTCGTGTATGTCTTGACTTTTTCAGTCTTCTTTTCAGAATGCTTCTGTGAAGTTCATTTCACCTTTGCAGTAGAGGGGGAAATTATCTCCACAGTGGGTCCCAATGACACGTCTCTCTCTACTTGCCTTTTCAACTCTTCCTCTTTTTCCTCGGATTAAAGAGATCCCTTACATCTCTACTGGGGCATCTAGAAATCTCTCCAAACTCTTTCGTTCGTCGTCCCGATCTTTGAGACACTCTTCTTTACCCTCTTATGGATGGAGATGCGTTCCTTGCTTTCCGCTTCCTCATCCCTTCTCTACTTTCTTCTCTTTGGGTCCTCTGAGATCGGACCTCCTCTTTTCTATTAAGCCATCAAATGAGTTTACGAACAATGGGTGAATTAGCATCAAACTTCTCTGAAGTTAGGTGTGAGCTCTTAGGGACCGGATGAGAGTTTTTAGATGCCTTAAAGTATAAACTTTGTTGACAAGATTCCTTGGGTAATGCCTGTTTACAGTGCGACATTGTTATTTGATGCCCGAGGTTCTGTGGAGAAAGCTCTTCCTTCCCTTCCAGGCTAGCCAAAGCCTTGAAACCAATCATATTTCTCGTGGATCTATTCTTTCCCATAGTGATAAAGTTAGAATTTTCCTCAAATTTGAAGGTGGCTCGATTTATTTGAGCGAGCCTTCCGGATGGACCGCGAGACTTCTTTCTTCCTCGATGGATAATGGGGTTTGCTAATTGCCCTTAGAACAAAAAGAGGCTCGCTGGATGAACAGGAAACTAGGAAACGCCCGTTATCAACTTTCCAGAAGGTGAAGGGAAGAAAGATCGATTTTTTATATCTTTGAGGCTTGCTTATCCCTTCCTCACGACGGACAAAGCTTACTTATCACTCACTTGTGGAAGAGGCTTGTTTATGGATAGACGAGGCTCGTTTAAAGATGGACAAGGCTTGTTTATGGATGGGCAATGCTCGCTTATGAACGGACGAGCCTTGTTACTAAAACAAATACACTTTTATGATTATGGCCCCACGAATGGCTCCAGTGATGGATCCCTAATATTTTCCCCTAAGACTACTCGGTATTAAAGTCCAAATATCAGTATCCGGGTTTTGTAACAGTAAAAGAGTAAAAATACATAAGTAATGAATAGTGTAATGGATAACACATAGTAATATAACTTAAACGATGGTTCTTTCCTCTAAATCGTCCGTCTATGGGTCGGAATATCCTCTAGGACCACTGGAATATTCTTTTTATTATTCAAAGTATTTCTTTTCTCTCTCCGTTTCAAGTTACTTTTCATGGCCAAGTTTCTTCTCTCTCTTTCTCTCTCTCTCTCACACACACACACACATAAGGGACTCCCTCAACCACCATCTCATCAAAATATCTTCGGTGGTTGGGGAAAAATTCAGAAAATCTCTCTTTCCCAGAAGACTCCTCTCAATCCAGGTTACCCACTTTAGGACAAGTTTGTCTCTAGACAAATATTTCCTAGCTATCACCTTTGTCTCAAACAATGACAGGTGGATATTTTGTCTCTTTTTCAAGGGAGGCGCACCTTAATTCTATAGGGTGGGCCATATCCTTCCTTGGTGACGTGGTTCTCTATGGGCTGGAGCTCAACTATTGGTTCAGTCCAATCTTCCCAAATCCCATCTTAGTTCTCCCTGGCCCGATCCTTTAATTGGATCAAGCCCGACTACTTTCTCACCCTGCCCCATCTATCTTATCATACTTGGACCGGTTCGTCTAAGGTTATGGACCCTAGTTTGGGCCTCGTACATATTTTGGGTCCAATCCATCTTATAATGTCTTGATGTGCCAAATTTCCATCAACTCCAAAAAGTTAAAACTAAATAAGTAATCAAAACTAATATGAATTTTGTTTTGGAACCAAATCCAGTTACACTTGGAAAAAGAAAAAAATGGAAAGGAGACGGTGGGCGTTGCATAGTTGACAAAGACAAGGATTGTTATGGAAGTAAGTTTCGAGTTCGATTTCTAGCAACTACGCTGGCTATGCTAAACATAGAGCCTTTACAATCAATCAAAAAATGGAAAGGGAAAAACTAGGTACAAAATAAGAGTAAAAAAACCCTAATTCAGCTTGCCATTCTGCTTGCTTGGCCTTCGTGGTGTGTTCCACCAGTGTGTGATTGCAGGTCAAATTGCAGCAGTCGCCGTACTCGGCGATTCCTCTCTCTGTGGCCCGGTGCCGTCGCCGACGATCGCTTTGCGCGGAAGCTCAGAATAGGGATTGGGGATGGGCAGAACAGAATAGTCCTCGCGACCTAGAGGCTGTAATTGTAATTTGTAACTGTAGAAAGAGAGGAAGGGCGAAATATTTTCGCGTGCTCCTCAACAGAAGTCATCAAAACCCTCGCTCGATGATTCTGTCTTCTTCCTGATCGCTCACCATCTCCATCGAATTCCAAAGCTTCAGCCGCAGTCGTTCCATCTCTGTTGACATGGAAGACGATGACGAGTTCGGAGATCTTTACACCGACGTCCTACGACCTCTCACGGCTTCTTTTGAATCTGAACAGCCACCACCGGATGCGCAGCACATGGGAGGAGTGGGAGAACTCGAAGCTGAAGGCTCCAAAGCTACCCAGTCTCTGCAGAACATTCAAACAGATCCTAAAGCCGTGGAAGAAGAAGAAGAAGATGTCAGCCGGATCAATTTTGGAGAGCAGGAATCAAATTTCTCTCATAATTTGTGCACTGGGCCATGTTTGAAAGTTGAAAATAGTACTGCAGCCTCTCAAGAGGAAGATAGACAGCCCAGTCCAAGAGTCCCCGTTTTCAATTTGAATTTGAATCAAGAAATCGAAGAACCGAAGGGTTTGGTTGGGACTGGTATTGATTTAAACACATTGGATTCAGGCGGAAAGGCTTTTGAGAAGAGTGATGCAGAATCCAGTGATAAGATATTTGGGGACTCAAAATTTGAGGAGGAAGCTGACATTGATGTGGTCGTGGAAGAGAGGGATGATAACAATGATGACTTGATGAAGAAAGATGAAAATATTGATAGCTCAATCAGTAGGAATGAAAACGGTGGGAGCTTTGCAATGCAACCTGGTGACTCTAAGCCAATGATTCCTGGTGTGTCAATTACAGATGTTTCAGGAGCCACAGAGATTGGTAGAGATGGGGCTTTGCCGGACGAATGGGATAGTGATAGCGATGAAGATGATTTGCACATTGTGTTGAACGAAAACAATCATGGACCCATAGGAATGGACATAATCGGTGGAATGGGAGGTGATGGCGATGAAGATGATGATGATGATGGGGAACCCTTGGTCATTTTAGCTGGCACTGATGATATCAATCATCAACCAATGGTTGAGGAGCAAGAGTGGGGCGAAGAGCTGGGTTCTTCTGCTGAAGGGGAGAAGAAGGATGATGCAGCCAAAGTCAATGTAGGGTCAGGACTTGTTCCAAAGATTGGGTACAGCAATCATGGGTACCATCATCCTTTCCATTCACAGTTTAAGGTCAGTCGTGATGTTGACGCCTGGGATTTGTGCTTCCTCATCTTGTTTCATCCGACTGAGAAATGTAAACTGACTTGTAGTTGTGTGATATGGTATAAATGAGTATAAACTTGTCAGGATTGTTGATTGTGTGGTAAGAAATGATAGTGTACTAACTACTCCGTATATAGTTTATATTAATGAATTTTTTTCCTTTCACTTTTGTGTGTGCTGGTTATTCTTTTGTTGTCTGCATACCAGTTGCTGGCGAAGCGTATACTGAAATTTCTGGAGATTCTCAGCATGTTTAAGAGACAAATGATCTAAATACATAACAAGCTTTTTATAAGATTATAGGATGGATTCCTGGAGTTTCAGTCTCATAAAACATCAGCTTATGCAGTTAAAATTTTAAACAGCTAAAATCAAGTACTCTGTATTTTTAAAATAACAATGAGTAATATCTGATAACAGTGTCTAAAATTATGATGTGAAGGGTTGATCATTTCCCGTCACACACATCTCCAATCACTTCTTGCATGGTTCCATTATACCAATGAAGTGTGCTCGAAATACCATTTTTTTCAATGGAGCCTCATTAGTGCATTAGAAATCACATGAAGGACTTTGTGATTCCTCTGTGATTAGTCATTAACGTCATCTTAGTACATTTGGTGATTTTGGTCTCAAATGATAGAGGATAGTCGATTAAGATAGTATCTTTCTGGCTTTTCAATGACCAGGTTTTAGCAAATACGTAGTATTACTACTGTTGAAGTGTGGTTATTCTATATGCAATTCTCCAACATTGGTTTGGCATCAAAAGAACAATGTAATGACATTTGTATATATAATGAGAATTTGCAGGTCCAAATGACTAGTGCTAAATGAATTAATTTACGCTGATTCAATCATTTCTGCCACCCAAATATGGGAAATTGGTGCAGAATTTCATTTTATTTGATCATAAACTAATAACCAACAGAGTACCCCCCCTCCACCCCTGCCCCCCCCCAAAGAAAAGTATTCACTGATGCATTGGAGCCCACAATGCTTGCTGACATAAAGTTGATGAACATAGAATTAGTGACCCAGTTTTTTCTCACAACTTGGACCACTACAAAAGATCATATCCTTTTATTCCTTTGATCTGTAAATTCTGTGCACTGTGACTTCATGCTTTCCTTTTCCAAAATGTTTTTCAGGGAAATTTCGTCTTTCACTTGGATAAATGTCTTTCAGAGCATTGTGATTAATTTATCTCAGTACTTGTTCAAATAAGATTCAATTATTATTACTTGTGGCCACTGGCCACATGCCTTAGTGGAAAGCTTCTCACATATTTTCCCTCCTGGGCTTTTTTGACAGTATGTGAGACCTGGTGCAGCACCAATTCCCGGAGCTCCTCCAGTTGGTCCGGGAGCAACACCAAGTCAAGCTCATCCACCAGTTAATTCAAGCCTTGTTGCTGGACGGGGAAGAGGAGAGTGGCGATCAATTGGGATTAAAGGCCCGTTAACAATGCAGAAAGGTTTTCCAGGGTATCCTATGCCTGCTTGGGGAAGCAATTCAGTAGGGCGGGGAATCGGATTGGACTTCACCCTTCCTTCACACAAGTTAGTTTCTTAGTACTTCAATCGATGTTTTTTTTACCAAGGTGTCAAATTTTGTTTAGTATATATTTACTTGAATTTGCCACTTGTTTATCAGGACTGTATTTGAGGTTGATATTGATGGTTTTGATGAAAAACCTTGGAGACTTCCAGGCATTGATATGTCTGATTTTTTCAACTTTGGCTTGAATGAAGAAAGCTGGAAAGATTACTGTAAACAGCTGGTTGGTTTTGTAGGCCATTGATTCATTTTGGGTGAAAATATCTGATTTCTAATTTTATTCGTTGTATTTTCTTTTTTAAAACATTTTATTATATTATTCCCTTCTACAAGGACCTAAAGGAAATGCAATTTAATTACTTTCAATTGAACGGGTACAACAAAAGCACGTCATCTTTGAAATTAGGTTGTCATTTCTTTGTTGCTCTTAAATTGGAGACAAGTAGTGAACTGCCATATATAGCATATATAAATCATGTAACATACTCCGAAAAAAGCACAAAACATTCATGCAATTAATTATGAGTTAATTTGAAATTGTTCTCCCCATAACATGTAATTTAATGAGTTAGGTCATACTCCTTCCATCCCGAAAAAAGGTTCCATATTTTCTTTTTGGTCCCAAAACATGGTTCCCCTTTCCTTCTAAAGAATATGGTTTATATCATTTCTCTCTCCTTTGCAAAACTCTTAACCACTCAATTTCACCTTTATTAATGATTGTACCCAGTCAAATGTGGAACCTTACTTTGGGATGGAGGGGGTAATTTCTTTTTGTCCTTAAATTGGGTAACAAGCAGTACCTTGCCATAGAGATTATACATAGAATGCAACAATGTTTGAAAATTTATGAGTAAATTCCAAGTTTTTTAAATTAAAAAATGCAAATATTGCAAACAAACATGACTTTTTCAGGAACAGCTGCGGCTTGAGTCAACTATGCAAGGAAAAATACGAGTATATGAAAGTGGGAGGACAGAACAGGTGATACTTGCTTGTGAATATCCGTATATGACGTGTATGTAGATGACTGTTTTTTCCCATTTAGTCTTGTGTCCCGAGTCTTCTAAATTCTGGAATTGGCAGGAGTATGATCCAGATCTTCCTCCAGAGCTCGCAGCGGCATCTGTCATTCAAGATGTTTCAACTGAAAATGCGAGCCCCGAGAAGACTGAACCTGGTCAAAATGACTTAGCAAGAGAAACTACACGTAACAGGCCGCTGCTAGTAAGTGAACTGATAATTCCATAGAAAGATACTTCTCGTGGAATAAAATCCTTCCGTGGAGCTTTTATATTGACCCCTTCAATTTTTGTCAAAATATTACTTTTATCTTTCTTCACATATGGTCCTTAGGAAAGGAAGTAAAAGAATTTGATATCCTATTCCTGTTACTTTCCTTCTGAATAATTTAATTTAATTTGCTGCAGCCTATTGGAAGACCAATACAAGTAGAAACTGGCTCTGGTGAACGCCTTCCATCAATGGATACACGACCACCAAGGCTCCGTGATTCTGATGCTATCATAGAGGTGATTTCTTTTTTCCTTTACACTATGTTTGGTTCAAGGAATTTGAAAGGGAAAAGAAAAGAAAATGAAAAAAGAAAAGAAAAGTGGATGGAAAAGAAAATGAGAAGGTAAAATTACTAAAAGGCGGGAAAACCAATTTTTTCCCATTTTGGTGAGGAAAATGAGAGAATCATTTTCTTTTCTTTTCTTTTCCTTTCAGACTCCTTGAACCAAACACGGTGTTAGTTTTTTGTTTTCTTATTCCTAACAAATTTACTCCGGAATTATTCTTTCATTCAATTGTGAGCCCCTTTTTCTGTCTATTGTGCATGCCTCATGTGAGTATCTGTTGCTTTTTGGTCTACAGATAGTTTGTCAAGACAGCGCTGATGAAGAAAATAATTTGGAGCAACCAAGAAATCAACCATCAAGGGATGATATAAGGGGTGCTAATGAAATTAAAGGTTTCCAGCAGGATGATATTCGTAACGTGGACAGTTTTCAGCATGCTTATAATGGTTGGAAGAGAGATTTCTCTTTTAGAAGAGCAGATTTTAATCCTGGACCTCATGACATGAGTCAAGGCGATCGAATTACAATTCTTCCTTCTGAAGAACCAGATTCCAAGGGGCAGTCTTCTGTATACCCTGTCAGGAAGCATACTATTACACATGACATGAAGTATGGAATAATATTGAACAACATTATATGTGTAGTTCTCCCTAAACTGTTTTACTTTTTACAGTATATACACGTGGTGGAACCATTTGACCTATTTTTATATATTTTTCATACACCTTCAAGAAGCACATACATTATGGTGATTTGGAATCAAATTTAGTTCCCTTCCAAAGTTCCAGCATGTAATAATATGATACAGTCATAGGCCTCCGATTAAAAAATACGTCTTTAATGTGGATTCTGCTTCAAGATGGTTGAAACAGTACTTAATTATGTATCTTTCTGATCTTTCATTTGGTTTCCTCATTAAATAATAAAAAATGCTGGTTCCTGAATTATTTAATCTGTTTAGGGTTTCTTTAAGTCTTGCTTTCAAAAATGCAAAAAAATTGTATATTGGATTGACAAATGTTTACTTTTTAATATTTTTCATGTATAATTTCTTATGAATACCAGCTGGGAAAAGGGAAGAGCACGTCACAAATCATCTGATATTGGTGCCAGTAGAAGTCCAAAGGATAAACAGGCATCTCATGATAATCAGAGAGAAGAGTCATTAAGTGTCAGCAATGGAGGAAGCCCTCTTTCATCTCCAGCTTCAAATAGATCTGTGCAGGAGGGGGCTGCTGAAAATAACAATAATCTTCATCATGAGTTAGCCCCAGCACAGGGAAATGCTGGAGTGAAGAGGGGAAAAATGGCTGTGGATGATATAACCAATAGTAGCAGGATGAAGGATGTCAGTCAAATAAGTTCTGCTAAGCACCATAAGCTCAGCACACGACTTGAGGAGCCATCTCCTCAAGAAACTGAAGGAAGAGAAGATTCAAAGGCTAGCGAAAACAGCAAAACAAGGTCTGGAAGCAGCAAAGAGCATCGTATATTACACGAAGGTCTTGAGGAAGAAGTTCATAATGAACGTTTTACACATCCTGATAATATCAGGCAAACACGTGGAGAAGATGATAGATTACGAAGAAAAGGCCACGATGAGAAAGAAACAGGGAAACACCGGATGGTAGTGAAAGCGAGGGACGATTCTTATCCACGTAAAGGATATGACTCTAGCTCAAGCCATCATTTACACACTAAAACTTCTGTTGTAGACTGGCGTAAAGAACGTGATCACTCTGGCGTGGCTTGGCATCACAAGGATGATGATTTGCATGGAAGGAGGTCTAAAGTGGATGACTCCCGAAAGCGAGATCATAGTGATGAGCATGAATCCAAACACCGGAACAAGACTCGTGACATTGATAGAAGTGAAAGAGAAGAACGCCATTCATTAAGGAAGCAATTGGACAATGGAAACCTGAGGTCTGATCACGAAAAAGATGCAGGATTCCGCCACAGAGAAAGGGATGATTTGAAGAACCGATTTGATAACATAGACGACCGTCACAGTAAAAGAAGGAAGGAAGATACAAAATCAAGCAGGGAACGTATGGATAGGGAAGAAACAATGCATGCCCGTGGAGATGAAACTCTCCGCCGTAAGAGGGAGAGAGATGACGTTTCAGATCAAAGGAAGCGAGATGAGCAAAGATTAAGAGATGAAGTCAGGCACAAAGAAGAGGCATTGTTTCAAGGTGAACGAGGTGAGAGACACAGGGATCGCGGCGAATGGTATAGGCATAAACAATCCCATGATGAAATTACATCAAAGAGAGAAAGAGATGAAGTGCATGGTGGGTTGCGGGTGGGCCGAGTTGCTGATGAGAAATCACGGGTTGGCTCACAGGGAAAACATGAGTACAAAGGTTCTGACAGAGAATACCACTCAAAGGAGATAGGGAGGCATGTTGAGCATCTCAAACGAAGGGAGCACGATGAAAACAAAAGTCCTTCACGACATAGGAGCCGTGAAGATGTATATGGACGGGGGAACCAACCTAATAATGATGATCGGAGAGCTAGGAATGAAAGGGTAAGCACCCGTCAAGATCACTCTGCCTACGAATCTGATAGTTCGAAAGTTCATGAAAAGAAACGTAGAGAGAATTCAACGAAGGATAGAGTATCTGAAGCTGGTGATCAGGCCTCTATGCTTCCTTCAAGGGCGAATGAAGATGATCGCAGTGGACATGCAAGTGAGACGGTAAGTTAACTTGCATAAAGCATGAAATAAAATATATTTTTTTTAGATGTTTGAAAATTTATCTTCACCTAGCATTCTAGCAATAATAATTGAACACAACTGCCTTGCTAGTGTTAGTGTATTGTTTTGAATTCTTGATGAAATAATGAAGTGCGAGTCTTGCCCTTTCATCTTCTCAAATGGCTCATTGAATGTAAGATTGCCTCAGGTAATAAGTTTACCTCCTTGAAGGCAATGCAAGATTATTGGAATGTAAGATTAGCTTAAGCTTTTTGGTTCATAGTATATGATACGGAGTATTAGTTGTGTTGTTAAATTGTTAGGGACTAGATAGGGATTGTCTAAACTCTAAAATATTACGTTATTTTGCAATACCTATGAAAGCAAAGGCAATCGATTACCCACAACACTGCCTCCTTTTTCAACGTGGAGTTAATCTCAGGTTGCCTTGGTAATCACTAATATGAGAAAATCTGATTCAAACAAGGCACTCGCACATTACACTTCTTACTTTAGCAAGGTAAATATCAGTTTTCGTGAGCCAATGCCCTCTAACGGTATCTGCCTAATTCATGTGGGTCTATCACATGCTAGGTCTGACATTTTCTTGGTGACAAAGGTTTCTCCTAACTACTCTAAATAATTTTTTTTTACTTAAATCATATTTCAGGGGAGCTTGAAACGAAAAATTGAGAAAGCTAGTGATGAGAATGAGATCCACATGAGTCGTCAATCTTCCAAGAGGCACAGTGAAGATGCTTGGTCTGACGATGAGATGCCTGATTCAAAGAGAGGGCGTTCCAAATTGGAACGATGGACGAGCTACAAGGAAAGAGACTTGAGCAGTGTCAACACCGGAAACTCACCATCTTCTTCCTTAACCATAAAGGAGAATGATGTCATCACGGGACCCAATGCTCAACATGATAATGAACCTTCAAAGAAGGCAGATGACAGTGAACAACAGAATGAAAACAGTAACAGTGCTCGGGAGACTATTAGTTCAGCTGATGTTAAACGAGTGGAGGATAAACACTTGGAGACGGTTGAGAAGTTGAAGAAGAGAAGCGAGCGTTTCAAGCTTCCCATGCCCGGAGGAGATAAAGATGTGACGACGGTCAAGAAGATGGAAAATGAAAATTTTGCTTCTGCTGGGCAAGTGGAGACGCGTCCAGATTCCGAGGTCAAGGCTGAACGCCCCCCACGGAGGAGGAGGTGGACTAGTGGCTAAAAGAGTCTCAGACAAATTTGAATTTACTGTTCAATTGGGATTCTCCTATTGTCCCCATGTTATTGAGGAGACCCCCCCACCCCCCCTCCCTCCCTTCCCTTTTGCGCCATTTTTATATCCCATGTTATTGAGGAGCTTTTTCCAGATGCTGTTTCCTGGTTTATAACCAGCCAGCCAGCCAGCCATGTATGATTCTTTTTATTTTTAAGTTTACCTTGTTTTAAAAACTATTCACACACATATATATAAGAAAAATGTATCAATAGAACTGCCTGGTAACAAGGCTTACAGAATTTGAACTCTTTTTAGGTTGTTACTTGGACATGAATGTATACCATAACACCAAGTAGATATTTTGCTTCAATTACCATTGATAGCAGAATTACTCTGCAGAGCATTATTATTTCTTTGGTTGTCTTCTTGTCCAAGTAGTAGAGGCTTTGTGAACAAGGTTAGGAGTAGTGTATTAGTACTACTACTAGTAGTAGAGAATAGAGGCATACATGTATTTGCAACTGAACGAGTTCAGCTTGGTTATGTTTGGATTTTTTGTTAAGTATTATATGCTGTAGCTCTTTGAGTTTGTCACCCTTACATTTTTGTTAAGTACTCCCTCTGTCCACCATAGATCTTCCCAATAGCCCTTTTTCTTTGTTCACAATAGATCTTCTCATTTCATTTTTTAACAAGTAAAATACCACAACTACCCCCACTTACTTTATTTATTACACCTCACCCACCTCATTTAATACACTCCACCCATTTTTCATTAAGGGTATTATGGTAAACTTTAACTTTTTTTCAACTCTCTTTAAAAACCACCAAAAGTCAAAATGAGAACATCTTAGGCGGACGGAGGGAGTATATATATATATATATATATATATATATATATATATATATATATATATATATATATATATATATATATATATATATATATATATATATATATATATATATATATATATATATAGACACACACACACACACATATACATACATACATACATACATACATACATACATACATACATACATACATACATACATACATACATACATACATACATACATACATATATATATATATATATATATATATAAAACGATGAGAAATGGGAATGTAAAAAGAGAATGTTTCATTGACTTTTGTATCATGAAAATGAACTAATAAAGACCTCTCTTATAAAAAATGAAAATATTTAATTTGAGACAAATGAAATGTGCGTTAAAGTTTTTTATATAATTGATTTTTTTATTGAAAATGCAAAAAAATTGATTATTAAAACATTATTAAAAAAATTTAAAAACAAAATAAAGAACATTTATGAAAAAAGAGAGTGCTGGAGTCCATTTCCAAAACTATAGGGGTAGTAGAGCTATTCACCTAATATTTGAAGGATGTTCTAGACTAGAGAGACATTGATGTAATAACATCAGAACTATGAGGAACGACGACGTAAATTTTGAAACAATGAGTGTAGTGTTGCTTATTTACCAAACAATAATGAGTGTTGGCGTAATGAACCACCAATTAAAATTGACACATAATCTACTTTACCCTCTCATTTGAAACACATTCTCGCTTTAAGATAGAAACATGAAAAAGTGATCATAGTACAGGATGTCAAGTCCATTGGTCCAAGGTCGAATCCCGACAGCGGAAATGTGAGAGTTCTAATATTTGTAATAAATCCTTGTGCGCATCAGGCATGTGATGACATCTTTAAGGATCAGATTGAGATTATACCATGATTTACAATGCTATCAGGCCGGGTGTTCCACTTTTAGAAAAAGTGAAATAGATGATGCTACAATGTCTTATTTGTTACGGAGTATTTTTGATGTCAGATCCTTTATAATATACGAAGTAGCAGAAAATTACTCACGGTTGACGCGAGTTTTGTTGAAATAACTCCCAGGTCCCTCTATTTTCAAGAAGACAGCAGAGGTCTTTACATTTTGTTGTAATGACTGGAAGGGGACATTTCATCCAATATTTCATCATAAATGTATTTTTTTCCAATTCTTTTCTAAATGTTTTAAGGTAATTGATGGTATAAATTACTTGACCGATCAAACTATACTAGACCGGGTCTAGAATAATTTGCTTGATTTGGCAACGTAAGAAAGGTAAAAACACGCAGATTGACCGGTAGGACTTTAGGTGGAGCACCTGTAACCCAATTTATATTATAACGGAGAATGCACGGGTGCTTTTACAAGGGAATTTAGAGAGAATGAATTCAGATCCCTCTTTCTAAGGTTTACATGAGTATTTATACTAGGCTATGGGGGACAAGACCACGTGCGCCCACGTGGGGGCACGCTGCTGATGTGGTGCGAGGTGACTGGCTTTCGTCCTCGAGCTGCCTTGTCGCCTTGTGAGGGGGATTATTCCCTTTGTCGAGTAGTGCCTTGGATGGATTCTTTAGCATCTCTAGTTGTCCTCTACTGACATGGGTCGCTACATGCCAAGCCCTCTTAGATTCTCTTCTGCCGACACTTTCCAACCCTAGAAACTACACCGGGTAATCTCCATGGGATGAAATCATCGAAGTTAGGGAAAAATAGGGTGACAAAGTAGTTTGACCGGTATACTTTACCGGTCATCTTTGGGCCGATTACATATCGATTTGCTGACGATTTAAGTTTCCCTTCCAAAACTTTCTAGATTGACCGGTCAATTAATTGGTCTTCTCCTTTGACCGGTCGTGGGTGGAATACACCCATCAGTAATAAATCTTAGGTTGCTCCTTTTTTTATTTTTTATTTTTCTTTCATTTTGTTACTATTTCATCGATGGCCACCGCCTTCAAATGTTGTTTACTCTGTATATGAATTGGGCTTCTTGAAGAATTGTTAAATTTTTGAATTTGTATCGGGCAACATACATCCTCTGCTCCATGTTTGAGTTTGTGTTCATTTGTTTGTTCTCAATTTGGCTTTTTTGAGCAAATTCAGGGAGATCCAAGTTTTTTCTTTAATCTATTAGATTCCGGATGTTAATTTAACTTTCATTTAAGATTTTTGGTATTTGCTTCGTTTTTAATCATGAATTAGTCGATGAAATTAATATTGAGAGGCTGTTTGGCAACTTGTGAGTGGGTAAGTGCTGAACCAGTAAGAGGTGTGAACCATTAAGTGCTGAACCATTAAGAGCTAGTATATTGCTTAACTATTCAGAGACAAATGTCTGATCAATTCAGATAAGAGCTCTTAACCATTCATACTCTGTATAATACTTAACCATTTAGAGCCAAATCTCTTAACCATTCAGACATCTGAACCATTAAGAGGCTGAAACAAACAGTCTGAACTATTAAATGCTGAACCATTAAGAGGCTGAAACAAACAGCCCTTTACTCCACAGTCAGGGGCGGCCTTGGGCCCTGCAGGCCCAAAAAAACTAGGGCCCAAATTTTTAAATAAATAGTACGGAGTAGTGTGTATACTACTCCGTATATAATAAGAGGCCCAAATTCTTGAACAGCCGCAAACGGAACAAACGGGAGTACCGGAAGGGAACCGCCGTTAACCAAAAGTCGAAGAAGGAAGAAAAGAGTTGCCTCATCTCCACTGGCTCCGGCTGCCCTGCCTTACCACTACGCCGTCCAGCACTTCTACGTTCACTTCCGTCTTTCAGGTATGAACGTATAATTTATTGTAATTTATTGATTTTAATGATCAAATCCCTAATTTTATTTATCTTTTAAATTTTTAAATGCGCCATCTATGTTTATTCTTGTATACTTGAATAGTTTATAGTTTTATGAAATTAAATTTTTAATTAGAATGATTAATGAATTATAATTTGATACAAAATAAGGTTTTTTATATTTTTCCTCTTTTAAAAGTTTTTATTGCTAATTGTATCAAAATCTAAAATAGGTATTGCTAAAAGTTTTATGAAATTTATTTTTTATTTAGAATGATTTTGAAAGTTTTTTAAATTTCACTTTTATAAGATATGATAGTCAATAGAGGTCGATTTTTTGTTTTCGCACATGCCTGTTTTTTCTTCGGACCGGCCCTGTGACCATGTCCATAGTAGTACTCCCTTAGTGTATAAGAATTAATTTTTGTTTTTGTTTTTTCATGTAAAGATGTGATTTTTATTTTTATTTTTAAATATATAGATCAACCCGCAAACTGCTATCGCCTATTGGCATTACCACAATTTGAGACTTGGAAGTTAGGATCCCACAGGCTGAGTTTCTTGGCTCTGCCATTGCTCCGAGAGTATCTCAGGCTCCTGATCCATATATAAACAATCATCATCATGGCTTACGGCAACCTGGAAGAGTATGTATGCAGTGATGTTACGTTTTTAAATTTTCTGTTGCGTATTTATGTTAAACAATTTGGGTTCTTTCTTTAATAACTTGAATCCAGAAACCCCAAAGTTGACAAGCAGTTCCTATCGTCTCCCATTAAGAATGCAGTTGACAAGTATCAGCTCGTACCGGAATTTTTGAAGGTACTATTTTTTTTCTCAAGAAAGCACATGGCTGAACATGTTTTTATATTACATATTCATTTGCCGGCTTGGAGGTCAAAGCCATTGTTAGGTCATTACAATGAAACATCTGTTTAATCATAAACTTGAGATCTAAGGAATTTTAATTGATAGGATATTATAATTGAATAGATGCATCGGTGAACAATCATATCATCCAAAAGAATCAATTTTAAGAAAATTGGCAATAAAAGTCACTAATTCTTTTCTTTATAAAGTAAATACGATAATTCTTGAAATTGGTTGGGACATCGGACTGTATACCTAGCTTTTGTAGAATATTAAAGCCAATGTATTTCTAATTTTATACCAAAACTTGCATAATTAAAATTGACAATAACTTCCTAATACTTTTATAGAAAAAAGATGATATTGCTTGAAATTTGTTGAGATAGTGGACTGTATACATTGTATTTATGAAGTACTAGTGTAGCTCCATGTTTATGTACAACGAACAAGATAAATTTGTATGCTTGAAATCAGTGATATATGCTTTCTATAGGGGTTTTGTGCAAGTGCTATAAGCTTTTGATTCCCTTTGTTGTTTTTAGATGTTAGCCTGGTTTCATTTTCTATGTGAGGGGCTCAATGATAAGTAGAGAGTGTGGCGTTATTCTTTGGAATCCAAGGGTTTTTGATTGAGCAGGACTAAGAGAGAATATGTAGAATGTCTGTTCAGTGGCAACTCAAATGAGTCAGAAGTGGAAGTAATGTTGGATGCACACCTAGTGCCTAAGATGATCTGCTAAGATAAGGTGGTTTGTACATAAGGAGGAGAAATGCAGAGGCCCAATTAGAAGGTGCCAGAGAGGGTAGGGGTATACATAGGAAATACTACCTCCGTCCTGCTATATTCGTCCACTTTTGACTTTTGGAACGGTTCATCTAAGCACGTTGACTCATCAAATTCTCTCAATGTGTAAGCCTAAATATAGTCATGTGTGATCTTGTTTGATTTGTCTTAACATATACATTATTAATATATAATTTCTATAATTTTTTAATATACAAATTACAAGATAAAATGGATTAAAGAAGTGCATTGGATGGTGTGTAAAAATGAAAGTGGACAACTATAGTGGGATGGAGGGAGTAATTAGGAATACATGTAACCAGGTGATAATACATGACCGTCGACCTTTGGATCTCACCGAGGATATTAGATAAGAACGTTGTCGGTAGCCTTTTGGCCTCTCTGTAGTCTGTAGCTTATGCATGCAGCATTGTAGTATTTTAGTGTTGGTAGATAATCCGGTTCTACAATGATCCGGCTACCACTGTTTGACACAATAGTTTATTCTTCTTCTTATATGAATAAATAAATTGTAGGTGAGAGGATTGGTGAAGCAACATTTGGACTCTTATAATTACTTCATTAGGACTGAGATAAAAAAGATTGTCCGAGCAAACAATGAGATCAAATTATCAGTTGACCCTAATATTTTTCTACGGTGAGCCTTCATTGTTTCTTGTGTAGACTTCACAAATACATTCACAAATATACTTATTTTTTCAAATTTTAGACCAGAACATTCTGCTTGTGGTATGATTTCACAAATCACAACAAACCCTGTCTTACATGCAGGTACACGGATGTTTGGATAGGTGAACCATCAATAATGAGAGATGGCATTGTAAAGAATTTGACTCCACACCAATGTCGGCAATCAGACACCACGTTAGTACCTATTTTCATATTACTGTGTTCCCTACATATATTCTCCGGAGATTATTTATGCAATTTCACGCAAAACTAGGCCATTTTCTTTACCTTGAGCTCTATAAAATTACCCTAGAAAAAGAAAAAAAGAGGAACTTACTTCTTTGTTACTAATTTCTATATTTTCTTTCATCACATGTTTTCTTTATTAATGTTAGCTACGCTGCTCCTATATATGTAAATATTGAATATGTAATTGGGAGTCATGGGCAATTAACTCGCGCAAACAAGGTACCAACTGTTTTTAATATTATTATTTTACAGGAAATTGTGTTTTTTTTTAATTTAATACTCTGTATTTGATACCAAATCTCTTACTTTCTTTTTCCATCTCTGGGTGCACATGTGCTCTCTGAATACCCCTTAGAATAAAGTTATTATTGGAAGGATGCCTGTCATGCTTAGGAGTTCTTGTTGTGTCCTGTACGGAAAGGACGAGGATGAGTTGGCAAGCCTAGGTATGCTTCTAACCACTTAGATGGTGCATTTAGTTTGTATGTTTGGTTTCATCAAATGTATTTGTTAATAGTAAGTAATCTTGAAATAATTTTTCATCTCAATGGGTCACAGGAGTCAAAGCTATAAAATGGTTCTATTAGTCATTCGACAAAATTAATATTTTGAACTATATGACCTGCTACCAGCTTGCATATCTTAATGATCGTAGGAAACATCATTGATGAAGAATTGCTAAAATTAGGCTTGCGCGACGTTTGTGTTTATTTATTTATTTATTTAATTTGAGCAAAAAGACTTGCCATTATACTGGGTTTTCATTCAATTTAGGGGAATGCCCACTTGATCCAGGAGGTTATTTTGTTGTCAAAGGCACAGAAAAGGTGTGAACAGTACATTTATTATGTTTCATACTCATGACTTTATTTATTATATATCATTTTAAAATTCATTTTCTGTATTTGGCCTTTTTCCTCTGTACTATTTTGCTTCACTTCTAACTTAGGTTTGAAGTGTATCACATGTCATTTTGTTTGATTTTTGTTTTTGTAGATTGTAGTGTCAGTCTCATGCTCTTATGCTTAATTACTCCAGGTTATTTTAATTCAAGAGCAGCTTTCCAAGAACAGAATACTTATAGATACTGATAGGAAGGGCTGGTGAGTGGTTGACATTATAAGTTTATTTTACTTCCCCTTTGTCATTTGTTCTCTGTTGCTTCCGCATTTTCATCTTTTTCACTCCCCCCCACACACTTTGAAGCGCCCTTGAAGTCTGTAGAGGTGTGCAGTATATTCTCAACATGTGTGCACTCATGTTCTATATTGATATTGCGCCTGTCAGCAGCCTCTAAATGGTCTCACTTTGGAACAATAATTTGTTATTCGTAGACATTTTTTTTCTGGTATACATCTTTGGAAGAAATTAGGAGATGCTATGCATTTTTTTTTCATTTTTCTTTATACTAATTGTAGCTCTAGCATCATGATACACAAATTTGTACAACACTACAACATTACCCAATGCCTCAAAGACTCCCGCCCATTACGGGGTAAGGGTGGGTCAGGTTATGCAGCCTGACCCGTATGTTTAAAACATAGAGTGGTTGTTTCCAAATGATCCATGGTGAACATCGAAAGTTGCATGACTAATTACTATAGAGTACTTCACTATAAAAAGAGGTGCCAACAGTTAAAAGAGTCGTTTTGCTTTATTCCATCATACTCCAAAGCCAAGTGAGTCTTTAGCTCCATAAGAGATGATGGTACACTAATGTGTATTTTTACTATATAATGGTTGTGTCTTAATGGGAGAGAGTTCAAATTATTTCTTGCATTTTAATACAAATCTATTGGTTAATTTAAAAGCGGTAGCCTATTTTCAAAAAAAACCTTGTAGCCGTTCTCTCTCTTCAAACTGCTCTCTGCCATCGATAAACAAATTGCCGGAACTCTCTCTCGCTCCAGTTCCCTCTCATCGGCTCTCTCTCTTTCTCTCTTGCCAGATCTTCCTCTTCCTTCCTCTTGCCAGGTTTCTTTGTTTCTTGCTTCCACTCGTCTCTCCCTTGTTAGTTGACCTCTTGGTTTTGATGATGACGTAGGTCGGAGGCGGCCAACAATGGCTGCCAGCGACTCTAGGCCTAAGTAACTTCTCTTCCCCTTTCTCCCAACCTAGCCGAGGCACCAATCCCCCTTTCCAAGTCATAGTCGTCGGCCACCCTTCCCCCCACCCCCCACTAGCAGACTGCCAACCGACACCTCCCCCATCGGCTTCAGATTCCCTTTCCGGCCACATCATCCTCTAAACGTACACCACTGCCCTATAACTTCCCTTGCTCATCCCCTGCCCTACACCATCCGTGCCCAAGCAGACACACACCCAGTCCCCCACCCCTATGCCACTCCCACCTTCTGCCCTACCCCATTCCCCTGCCTCCCCCAACCCTCTTCTATTTGCCTTTTCTTTTACGGATATTTTGCCCTTACCCTACTTTTCTTGTGTTCTTAGCCTTTTGCTTGCCTTGCTTAGGAGGGAGGCACATGGAGTGGTAGAGTAGTGTCCCATGTGCGGTTTGGCTCTATTAAGCTGGTGCAGTTTCTCAAGAGGAGAAAGATTCAGGTGGCGCGTGTCCAAGAAATTAGATGGGTGGGCACCAAGGCGCGAGAGGTAGACAGTTTCAAGTTATGATATTCAGGTTTTGTTAGGGGAAGGAACGAAGTCAGTATTTGTGTGGGGCTGGAGCTGCAGGAGTTTGTGGTGGAGGTGAAGAGGATTAGTGATCTGTTGGTGGTTATAAATTTGTTCTTGGGTGGACGTGCGATCGATGTCGCAATAAATAAGTCATTTAGTATAGAAATTTTGCCAACGGGAAAGTAATTTATGGACAGCCCGAAATGGAAAGTGGGAAGTTAATTTATGGACGGAGGGAGTATGTTTTTTGGCTCTAGGTGCTTTATCTATGTTGTAGTTGTGCTTTCTCTGCTTTATGTATCTACTGTGATCCTTATATATGTGTAGCTTGTGTTGGGGTCTCTTGGAAACAACCTCTCTACTTTTGAGTAGGGGCAAGGTCTGTGTACACACACCCTCCCCAGATCTTACTCTTGTGGGATCCAACTGGGTTGTTGGTATTGTTGCTATTGGTTTTTTCCATTAATGCTTTTGAGTTCACATTTTTGACATTCAAGTTTTTTCTTTCAATTTGTGTGTAGTGTACAAGCATCTGTTACATGCAGCACAGAGAAAATAAAAAGCAAAACAGTCATAAAAATGGAGAAAGAAAAGATTTATCTTGAGCTGAATCAATTTAAAACCAAGGTAATTTGTTCAACTTTTATCTTTGTATTGATGCACTCTGCAGTCTGCACTAATTTTTTGTTGTATCTTCTTTCATGTATTAGAATACCATTATCTTTACAGCTGAATTTAATTTCGGTTTATAGGTTCCCATTATGATTGTTTTGAAGGCCATGGGTATGGAGAGCGATCAAGAGGTTGTGCAGATGGTTGGAAGAGATCCTCGCTATGGCTCTCTTCTGTTGCCTTCAATTGAGGTAAGCTGCAGGGTTTTCTCTATGTTTCCTCCAAGGCTTTTTTTCTCTAAATCATTCCTTAAAGCTCAAATGTTTTTTTTGTAACTTTACCTTTACCTTTAATCCTTGTATCCTTCCGTTAGCTGTGAAGCTCTTTCTATCCCCCGCCCCCAGTTTACTTATTATGGACCGTGGAAGAGTAAAGCTCTTTCTACCTTTTATAAATCTTTGAATTTTTATTTTTGTCCTGATATCTTTCCATTAACAGTGAAAAGTACTTTAAGAATAAGGCAGTGCTTTAATTGTCATCGTAGAGTTGTAGGGTGACTTTCCGCAGTATATTCCCCTATTACTTCACAACTTTGCTCATTTTGTGATGGAACTTTTCTCTTTTTTGTCTCTAAACATGTTGGTTACCATGGCAGTGGTTATCACAACGTTTGTTTGACAGACTTCTGTCTCGTGGGTGGTGGGTCGAAACATATTTCTCTCTGCAGATGAAGAAGTTTATATATCAATTTCCAGTGACAATCTTTTTAAATTTTGATGTATTTTGTGATTTCAGGAATGTGCAAACCTTAATGTGTACTGTCAACAACAAGCTCTGCAGTTCCTTGATAGCGATAAGATTGTATGGTTCCTTTATGTTAATTTCTTCACCCCTTTATTGCATACACTCACCATGCCTGGTCATTGTAAATGGAAACAGAAATGTGCAATTTAGCATTTGTTTGCTCTGTTTCGTTTTCCTCTTTCCACATATAATAAAAAATGTCGGTTTACTAGAATTCTTTTAGGATAGTTTTACCGTTGATGTCATCTGAAAAATGTCTCGTTTTCCCATGGGTTTAACTTTGGTTGTACTTTTACTTTTGCTCAATGCACCTAAATCAAATGTAAGAATGCCCTGTGATAAAGGAGCACATTCTTATTTCCTGAACTTGTAATGCATGAGCTCTTCCCGTCAAAACTATCAGGGAAAGTGTATATTTATCCTTTAACCTTAATCCTTTGTGTACTCCTTATTTAGTTATTCATTTGTATGTAATGTATCCATGTCTGTTTTGCAGCTTAAATTTTTTCCAAATTATTCTGGTTCAGTCGATAAGGTTTGGCTCCTTACCATCTATGTTCTCTTAATGAACTTACTTTTGATCTACCAAAAAATTTATTTGCTTGATCCTATTTTCTTGAACTTTTTCTTTTTATGAGGTTACGTTCAACAGCCTCTCTACTTTCAAGTAGGGGCAAGGTATGCGTGCACACACACTCCCCAAACTGGGTTGTTGTTGAGGTGACATTCAAGACTTTGCGTGATCCTATTTTCTTTAACTTTTTGATCTCCTTTTTTTCACGATGCTTTGATATAATTATGAATTGTTTCTGCAATGAGTTGGATACGTTGATGACCCAGGTCTTGTTAATACTCCCTCCGCCCTTTTGGGTTCTTTACATATTCCATTTTTGGTTGTCCCATTGGATTCTTTACACTTCCAAATTTAGCATTACTAACGTTATAAATAGTCCAATTTACCCTTTTGTACACCTTTCACATTTATCTCGAATATCCCACCCCCAATTTCACCCCCCCCTCTTTTAATAGTTGTATTGTCTGGGAAAATATTGAAAGTAAGCAACATTTTTACATTTGCTTGAACTTTGTGATATTTTCTCTCTCAAGAATCCAAAGGGACGGAAACATCGGAGGGAGAATAAATTTAAATTTTGATTGTTTCTTTTGATCATTTTTACTTTTAATTTGTATTGATAGAAAAAATGACGAAATAAATATAAATTGATATAATATTTACTGTCCCAGCTTAAGGAATTGTATAAAATTTTTTATGTAGGGAGGGCGTGCATTGAATATTCTTCGTGACACGTTTCTTGCAAACATCCCAGTAAGTTTCTTATCTTTTATATGATACTCGTCATAACTTATTGAGAACTTTGGGAATATCCTTTTATAAAATATCTCAATTTGAATTTAACACCTTAATGAATAGTTTTAATGAACCACCATTAAAGTTGTTTTTCCATTAATGAGAAGAAACTTATGACACCTTATGCTCCTACCTTTCTTTACCCTATGTCTAACCATATGCTCGTGCATGGACTCAAAACAGGGCAAAATTTAACATTATGTGATTTATGTCAGAAGAGATGCCCATTTGATCTATATAACCTAGCACCTCATTTATTACACAACCCTCCTATCTATCTTCTTTCAAGTAATGGAAACAAAGCCTCCTTTTTATCCATCTGTTAATACTCCCCAACCATCTCGTTGTCTACCCCCATTTACCCCACACTTGTTCTTCTTCCTCTTCCCAATCAAAATAAACAAAGCCAAATTTCATCGAAGTTTGTATGATGGAAGAAAGGAAAAAAGAATCTGAGTAGAGGAAAGAACACATTTGTATATGCTTACGAAGGGTAAAATTGAAAGTACCAAAACTAATTAATCGGTTGGGAGCATAAAGTGGTTCATTTGAAAGAATCGTTAGGGTATTATTTACAAAAAAAGATATTTTGTAGGTGGCTATTTCTAAATTTGCCTATTTTGTTTTATAAACATCTCATGCACATCCTTCCCTTCACATATAGGTGTACAACAATAGTTTCCGCAAAAAGTGCATTTATGTTGCGGTGATGTTGAGGCGCATGATTGATGCAATCCTAAACAAAGATACAATGGATGACAAGGTATTTTAGATCTACTTATTTGCACACACATATGGTTTGCCTTCAAAATTGGGTAAAAAGGCATAACGTTGTGAGGATTGGGGCATTGTATTGAGGACATTTTTTAATGAAAAATAAATGTTTTTTTGTACTCAATATGTATTTATTGAGTAACTCGGAGTAAAAAAATACCACCATCACTATCGTTATTGCACATTTGCACCTTAATCCGAGGTAGTTGGCAGTTGGCACCTTAGTGTCAATTAAATTGAACTAATGACTCCAGTTAATCCCAACTCCGTTTAGATATGAGGCCGATTTGCATATGGCTTTACCCCTTTAAGAATAGCCTGGTTTCCCTTAAACCTTTACATTGTTACATAAACTACCAAACACTTCATAGAAACTAAGAAGCAAAGGAAATTTAATGTGCCATTTTTTTAGTTCATTATTTATTGGCAATGGGCAATGTGCCCTTCTTGCAACCTTCATAAGAGGGTATAATGTGATGGAAAGTTATGAAGTTGTCATTGATAGAACTCGAGATTGGTGGGAAAAATAAATGAACGATAGTCCAAAATCAGGATCTAACTCCATACATAATAAGGGTGAAGAAATATCTTTATTAAAATATGTGCAAGAATCTTAAACTCATATAAGTAATAAAGCCAAGGAGAATCTCCAATAATAAATATTGAATTACTTTCTTGATAAATTTTACAAATAATGAGCCTCAATATTTATAGAAGCCAAAGAGCTACCAATCCCTAGAATTTAGGCCCACTACCACATTAACTAGTAACTATTCCTAGACTTTAGGCCCACTACCACATTACCTTGCAACTATTCCTAGAATTTAGGTCCACTTAGACATTATTAACTACTTAGTAACTAACATATATAAAATAATATATCTGACCTGTTAAACAACTGACCCCAACTGACTCTATTATTAATATTAAAACATAAAAATAATTGCATATGTGGCACTCTATCAGTCATCATCATAGTTTATTCCACATGTATGAAAAATATTCGAGATGGCAATGAGTTGAGGCATCAAGTTTCATTGTCATGTTCAAATGTTCAATTACAAGATTGATATTGTAAAATGAATGCGCAAATCATGAAACATTGGCCTTTCATAGACATTTTTGTGTTCTTTTATGTGAATAAGCTATTGCTTTGAATGCTTACCCACAAACCTAAAAGTGTTGTCATGATTGTTATACGATAAATGTGTCGGATGTAATCTTACTTGGGTCAAAATTCTTCTTATTGAAGATAGTGTAGCACAAATGGTTCATGATAGGTTCAGTTCGCAATGGGGCAGAGATGTAGAGTCCTTGCAGGCAGCTCAAAAATGCTTGTGTGCATATGTACATGTAAAATGTCTGCACTTTTAGAACCCCGTGGAGACTTATGTGTTTGTAGTGTGTGTACAACATTTAGCTGTTGTTTTTTTTATAAAACTTACATGCACTTACATCTTCAAAGTAAGGGAGGTGGTGTGTAGGTAACTGACTATTATGATGCTGGGTTGGTGACTGGAGTAGTGGTGGTAAGGNTATTGAAGATAGTGTAGCACAAATGGTTCATGATAGGTTCAGTTCGCAATGGGGCAGAGATGTAGAGTCCTTGCAGGCAGCTCAAAAATGCTTGTGTGCATATGTACATGTAAAATGTCTGCACTTTTAGAACCCCGTGGAGACTTATGTGTTTGTAGTGTGTGTACAACATTTAGCTGTTGTTTTTTTTATAAAACTTACATGCACTTACATCTTCAAAGTAAGGGAGGTGGTGTGTAGGTAACTGACTATTATGATGCTGGGTTGGTGACTGGAGTAGTGGTGGTAAGGTTGTGGCAGAGTAGGCGGTGGGATGCCAACAATGGTGACATGTTAATGGTAATGCGATGGCAGCAAAAGTTGTATACTAGTGAGGACAATGGTCGGGTTTCAGTGCTGGTGGAGTCGTATGACAGCAAAGTGGTGAGGCGGCAGTGGTTAGTATGGCACTGGTGGGGCGGTAACAGCATTGATAGTGTAGTAATGATTGACAACAACCACGGGAGATGTGGTTGTAGGGTGGCAGTTGGGCGGCGTCGGCAACAAACATCTCCACATCAGCAGTGGTAACGGAGGTGATGAATGATGATTGTCTGGTGTTGACATTGCTGATGGGGGTGGGTGGGGTAGTAGCGGCTGTGATTGTTGGAAGTGTTGTTACCATCTCAATTGGTTAAAATATAGATTTTTCTGAATTTTTTTCCTTTGACATTGGAAGTATTTTTTTCTAACTAAACAGGTGAGAATCCAGAATCTTCTGGAAGTCATTTTCCCTTCCCAAATGGAACTAATATTTAACTTATTGAAAGCTACCTTTCCTATTAGGCTTTCATCCTTCGTGGCTCTAAATCTTGTATTTTATACTTATCTAGGATTATGTGGGGAACAAACGGCTAGAGCTCTCTGGGCAACTATTGTCCCTACTGTTTGAGGTACTTTAGGCCTACTTTTTCTTTTATGAACCAGCACGTATGAATGAATTCGAGGTGTTATATATTCCATTAAATGTCTGATTGCAGGATTTGTTCAAGACATTAAACGATGAGGTTCGAAGGACTGCGGATGCTGTTGTGGGAAAGTCAAACCGATCTAGCAAATTGGATATTTCACAAGTATGTAATTCGGAACTAAAGTGCAAGTCTTATTGACTTAGCCCTTAGCAAAATGAAGTGTATTCTTTCAAATATCTAAGGGAATGGAGTTGGAATGGTCTCCTTTGTCCATGTACTACTGGAACACAATTTTGTTGGGCCTTGCTATATTTAATCTCCTAGTCTTTTTTATCTTCTTTCTAACTTTGTTTTCTTATGGAGTAATTAAGTAGTACAGAGTATCAAAATGAAAATTGGGTTGTAATGTACTTCATGTGTTCCAAAATAATTGCAACATCAGGATTTTCACTCTTGCCCAGCTAGTATTAAATCATTGCGGAGCACTATTTTTAATTGTATTTTAGTAAAGATTATCAAAACTTGATATTATGAAAGTTTATCGGGATAGCTCTAAAAAGACCCCACATGACTATATTCTTACATATAGACCACAAAAGATAGTAAAATGAGAGTGGGAATAGTGTAGAATTGGCTGTTGCAATTATTTTGGAAAGCAGGAACTAGGAAGTATGTTTTATGTCTTATCATGCAAAGATGTCTGTTTTTTTGTCTTCTCTGATATTTGAGTATTGCCAAGCATTGACATAAATTAAATAATTGGTGAATTTGGTCAGTATTTAGTGAAGGAGGCCATCACCCTAGGCCTGGAAAGATCTTTATCCACTGGAAACTGGGACGTGAAACGATTTAGGATGCACCGAAAAGGCATGACACAGGTACTCATGCCCTTGATGCATCTCATCTACTTACCCATGTGGTTTTCTAACTATCCTTTGCCTTGACCTAGATAGTCTTGAACAAATTAGCAATGAAAGCTTGTTTTTTTTATTACAGGTCCTGACTAGGCTATCATACATTGTATCATTGGGTTTCATGACTAAGATCCAACCGCAATTTGAGAAGTCTCGGAAAGTTAGCGGGCCGAGAGCTTTACAACCAAGTCAAGTACACCTGTTACCCAAGCATTATTATATGATAAATTACCTGCTTTTTAAATTCTTCGATAATTAAACACCCTCTTTTTGACAGTGGGGCATGCTGTGTCCCTGTGATACCCCCGAAGGTGAATCTTGCGGATTGGTAAAAAATTTAGCCTTGATGACTCATGTTACGACAGATGAAGATGAGCGCCCTATTGTTAATCTGGTATTATTCTCTCCATTTGTCTCTATGATAACTTCTAATGCTTGAATATTAGGCTTTCTCTACTTTCTGTGTGTTAGGTCTGTCTTTGTCACTCTTAATATGAGTATGATAAATGCTGAGGTCTTGAGATGGCTTCTGATAGAGGGTGATCAAATTTGCAGCTGTAGATTGCTTTACTAGCCCCTTGCTACAAAATCTGAATGCCTTCTCAGAGTATAACATTTGAAATGAAAATAGAGACTGAGATGGCTATATTAACCTTCGCTATAAAACAACGTTTTTTACTTGAACTGCAGCAATATAACCATTGTCTTTAAGCTTGTACAACAACAACTACAACAACCCAGTAGAATCCCACTACAGTAAGGTCTGGGGAGGGTGTGTGTACCCAGACCTTGCCCCTACTCGGAAGTAGGGAGGCTGTTTCCAAGAGACCCCCGGCTCAACCTGCACAAAAATATGGAAGGGAACACAGTATAACACGGATAAAGCACCAAGTACAATGAAATGAAAGTTCTGCAAGCAATAGCAAAAGATTTCAATCAAACACAACACACTACAAAACAGCCTCTACAACACCGAGCTCCTATCCAGCTACTCTAATCCTAGTTCTCCAAAGGTTTCTATCTAAGGCCATATCCTCAGGGTGAGAAGTCCTAAATCCTGCCTAATCACCTCCTTCCAATTCTTCCTAGGTCTATTCCTTCCCCTACTTCCCCCGATAACCGTAATCCTCTCGCATCTCCGTACAGGGGTGTCAGAATCCCGCCGTCTCACATGCCCAAATCATCTCAACCTCACTTCCCGCAACTTATCTTCCACCGGCGCTATGCCTACCCGACGTCGGATAACTTCGTTTGAAATCCTATCCAACTTTGTCTTCCCACACATCCATCGTAACATTCGCATCTCCGCCGCATGCAGACGACGCACACGAGTCTTCTTAACCCCCCAACACTCTGCCCTATATAACATAGCAGGTCTGACTACGGATCGGTAGAACTTACCTTTCATCCTGGGCAAAATCTTCGGATCACACAACATCCCTGAAGCTAACCGCCATTTGGCCCAAGCCACTCTAACACGATGTCCAACATCGCCGTCTAACTCCCCATCAGCCTGGATTACCGAACCAAGATATCGAAACCTGTCTACCTTAGGTACTAGGTGAGAGTCAATCCTAACTTCCACTTCTGATTCTGTTTCCCGGCCGCTGAAGCGACATTCCATGTATTTAGTCTTGTTCCTACTTATTCTGAATCCTTTGGTCTCAAGGGCAAGGCGCCATAGTTCCAACTTATCGTTTAGTCCCTCACGTGTGTCGTCGATAAGCACAATATCATCTGCGAAAAGCATGCACCATGGAACCCCTTCTTGAACACCTTGAGTTCGGACGTCCATCACCAAGGCGAACAAAAAAGGGCTAAGGGCAGACCCTGGTGCAACCCCATCCCTACCGAGAATGACTCAGAGTCGCCCCTGGAAGATCTTTAAGCTTGTATGTTTTATATTATGTTCTCTCATGCCTCCTCTTGGATTTGATTGTCCCTTTTCCATAATAACTCAAATTTATTGGTTATGCTTAAATGACAAACTAGTCACCGCATGTGTTACTCGTATTTTGTATATGACAAAATATTTAAAGTACAAGTAATATTCAGTATTCACTGTGTGCGTTCATTTTATATTGGGCAGTTCATGTAATGTTATTTTCCAGATAACACATACCGAAAAGGAGGACATTATGACATGCTTACTATTAAGCATTATTGAAGCTGTTAATCTTGATTTTTAAAATTTGCATTATTTTGACAATATTAGCTTTGGATGATTGATGAATGTTTTTTGGTTGCTGCCTTTTCACTCTCATCATTTTTCCAGTGCTATTGGCTGGGAGTTGAAGACCTGGAACATCTGTCTGGCGAAGAGCTTCACACGAAAAATTCTTTTTTAGTTATATTGAATGGACACATTCTTGGCAAACACATGAAGCCACAGGTACGTAGATGCCTGTCTATAATTTTTTCAGTGAATGGAGTATATGCACCCTTAAGTATATTTTTATTGAAGTGTCATTTTTTGGCATGGAAGGAGATGCTAGGGACATTAGGGTTAAGTGTAAGTGTAACCCCAGTCCTGCCCTTTATAAAAGTGCTTCACCGTAATTATGATATGTTTTTATGTGCATAGTGGTTTGCCAGTGCCATGAGAAAGTTGCGAAGGAATGGCCATATTGGAGAGTTCATAAGCATCTTTGTGAATGAAAAGCAGGTAAAGGTTCACATAATTTTCCTTTTGAATGTCATGTACTAGTGCACCCTTCCTCGTTTCTTTTCTTTTTTTCTTTTCGTTTGGATGTCACAGATCTTTATTTTGCTTGGTTCAACAAAAGATTATTAAACATGAATGATAAAACTCAATTTATCAGAGCAAAGAGTGTTCGCAAGAGTATGTGTGTGCGCATTTACACATTCCAATGTTTTCTCCGATAAATTGAATGTTTATCTGTTATGTTTATTAATCTTTTACTAAACATTACTTTTGTTTGCAATTTAAAATGTGTGTGCATGTGTGCGCGCACGTTTACATTTTCCAATTTTCATAATTTTCTTCCAGGACTAAGCTGAATATAATAAATTATGCATTCAGTATTCAGCTACCTACATACTCCCTCTGTCCCTAAATGGATGCACTGTCACTATTATGCCTGCTCGATAACTTTTGTTTGTTTGTGCATTTTCATTTATCATTTGATAAAATAAAATATTTTTGTCACCTATTGTTTTGTAGAACTTTTGATGTATTTTTGAATGATGTAATTTATGCTTTTTATTCATATACCAATTTATAACTAAAATGATTTTAAAAAGATGGGATTTTGCACGTTGTTTAGAGTGTGGTATCCATTGTGGGACGGAGGGAGTAATCGTTTTTAAAAATTCAAATTTTTTAATAGTATTCTTTTGCAGTGCTGTGTGTACATTGCTTCAGATGGAGGTCGGGTTTGTCGTCCACTTGTAATTGCCGACAGAGGCGTCCCAAGGATTAAGGAGTCCCACATGAATGAATTGAGGGTAACTCGCCTATCTGGATTTGACACTCGTGTTTGGCTTCTTCACCTTGTTGAAATAATGTCTTCTGTTAGGATGGTGTCCGCAGCTTCAACCAATTCTTGAGGGAGGGTTTGATTGAGTATCTTGATGTTAATGAGGAGAATAATGCATTGGTCTGTATTTTATCTATACCTCAATTTCATTTTCTGTTAGCAATTGTGGACTAGAAGGATAATGATTTATGACTGAATCTTTATTAGATTGCTCTCTATGATAAAGAGGCTACCCCTGAAACAACACACATTGAAATAGAGCCTTTCACGATCTTAGGCGTTATTGCTGGTTTGATACCTTATCCTCATCACAATCAGTCACCAAGGAACACATATCAGGTCTCCCACACTCTCACCCCATTATATGTTTGTGCATAATATTTTCTTTGTACCGTATTTAACTCTCTCATATGGCTGATCATAGTGTGCTATGGGCAAGCAAGCGATGGGTAATATTGCGTATAATCAGGTAAATGGGCATTTGTAAGGTGATTTCTAGTATTCCAACCACTTTTAACTGACTCACAATAAATCTGGAAGTGTTACCACTTAATTTGTCTTCTGCAATTTAATGTTTAAAAGAAGTATCAAGTGCGAGAGGTTCGAAAATTTCCGTATGGAAGACTTAGATTGGATTACTGGACTAGTCTATTTCTCTGCTGGATTCCTCCTTACTTTGTCCCAATTTATGATGCCTACTTTGAGTGAGCATAGAGATCAAGAAAGTGAAAAGTGTGTTCGGTATTTATGCAGAGGAAATATAGGAACCACATAATGGTTTTCATGATTGGAAACTACCAAACATACAATATAAATTGGAAAAAATTGAAAAGGAAAATAGACAAAAAATGTGACGGAGGGAGTAATATAATGTGGTCAATATTAAAGCATTTATTTCAGACACTTCAAACCATTAAGAAACACCATCTATGGGTATCGACTGTCTATTGAAGCATTTTCCCATACTTCATGTAATTGGGTGTTTACGACGCATCAATCTTTGTCTTTAAAATATGTGTAGCTTGTAAATTCCAGCTGCCACTGTCTTAATGCTATGGTTCTGGCATAAAGTTCTGGCCTTAATATAACAATTGCCATTTTGTTTCATTATTTATGGTTTTCTAGTGCTGTATTTAGGTGTCATTGTAGGAGCATGCTAGAATACATGTTATGGATTTTACAGTTTTATTTGATCTATCTATGCTATTCAATTAAGGAACTATGGAGTACTATATGTTTTGCTCTTCTGGTGCTTCTTATGTCCCTTAATGTTCCTTTTTGTGATGTGTTTGTGTATCAACTTCCGTAACCTTATCATAGTTTTTTATACACTTTGCAGCTGTACAGGATGGACTCGTTGATATACCTTTTGGTGTATCCCCAGAGGCCCTTGTTGACAACTAGAACAATTGAGCTGGTGGGTAATGCATCTCATTGCCTGATCAGATGACACCTTCAGATCTTCCTTGTGAACTAACAATTTTATTTGTAGGTTGGATATGATAAACTAGGTGCCGGACAGAATGCTACTGTCGCTGTAATGAGTTATAGTGGATATGACATAGAGGATGCAATTGTAATGAATAAAGCATCTCTTGATCGTGGTTTTGGTCGCTGTATTTTAATGAAGAAGTATGCTAATCAATTATTAATGCCGTAACTGTTTTCCCACACATTTGTCTGTGTGCTAAGATTTCAAAGTAGCTATTTGTGTGTTCTAATTTGTAATTTTTTCTAACAGAGTATCAGGCATGTACCAGAAGTATGAGAATAATGCATTTGATAAGCAAATCCGACCTGTACCACAAGATGCAAATGAAGCTCAAAGGATGCAGGTATAATTATGGAAAACCCATACACTGTGTAGTCCGTATTGTATGGATGTATGTGCCACTGGTCAACTATTTTTCCAAAATGTTATCAATCTTGAAATGTGCTCCCTCCATTCCCAAATCAAATTCACCATTTTCATTTCCCTACAACAACACAATCAAATCCACAAGAATCTCAATTAGTGGGATCTTGTAAGGGTAAGTCTATACATACCTTGCCCCTATCAAGAAAGAAGAGTCTCAATTAGTGGGATATTGTGAGGGTAAGTCTATATATACCTTGCCCCTACCGAGAAAGAAGAGAAATTGTTTCCATGAGACCCTCAACTCAAACTAAAAGGAACTTGGAGTAAAAAAACAAACTAAGACGACAACTCCCACACATGGCAAACCACTATCCAGAGCCCCTACCCTACCACCCTAATCCTCGACTTCCATTTGCTCCAAACTAAGGTCATATCCTCCATTAGCCCATGAAGATGTAAGTTGGTCTAATAACCTGACCCTATCTATTCTTTTGTTTGCCCCATTCAGAACAACATTTTAGTATTCACAACCACTTTTAATTCGATGTTCTTACATCATTTTATATAGCGGTCATCACATCTCCATATTCATATAATTCATTATAATTGTCATATTTAGCAAACCATTTTTTTCATGATATGATTAGGTAATCACATGTTGTTGGACAGGGAATGTTGCTTCGTAAGTTGGGTTGTCATGCAATATAAAACGTACAAGTTCTGCATTTTCATATGGTAGGTGGAAATCCCAAGCTCCAGGCTGAGGGACTAGCTTAAGCACCAATGACTCACATGGGTTTTTGCGGGGTGGCCTTTCATTTAGCCAAGGGCAAACCTTGATCTAAGACACGTTCAAGGTTGATGTGTACCCCCGTGTTACTGTTCCCCTAAAAGTGGCTATCAATGAGCATGACCCTTGGGGGTGACTGGGTTTGCAGTTTGCATTGGGGGTGTTCAAAAATATTCAATTCAGAGAATCTGTCCAGGGTTCAATCCAGTGTTTTAGAATTTAGCTTTCAAATATTTCAGATTGGATATCCGGAAAAAAATTGGATCAGACATGGAATGAAATATAATTTTTTTGGATATCCACAAATATCCAAAGTTCATATTTATAAAATTAAATTTAAAAGCCAAATTCACGCGACCTAAATCCTATATATTTTTATCACCATTAATCCCTAAATCTAAGCCCAATTTATAGTCCTTACTCCTTAGTCCTTTTGTGGAAACATCCTCCATTCTTTTGAGTAGGGGTAAGGCCCACACACCCTCCACTGACCCTACTCTTGTGGGATCTGACTTGGTTTTTGTTGTGTCGGTATTCATTTTCCATGCAGTTATAAAACAATGGAGTATAACTTATGATAACACTATCAAGGTATACATGGCATTTAAAACACATTTAACTTTAAAATAAATCCTAATTTTCAGCTCCATTAATAAATAATATTCCATTCGTGATTTTTAGAATCATCGACAAAGTAAAAATTCTATAAACAAAAATATAAAATCATCCTAGATATTCCACTGATCTTATCCGGAACCTGGATATCCTGAGATTTCTGGATCAGATATGGAATAGATTTTTCCGATCCAAAAATTTCAGATATCCAAATTTTGCCGATCCAAAAGCTTCAGATATCCAGTGGACCAGATCGGATCTATCCAAATTAAGAGCCCTAGTTTTCTGGCAATATATTTCATAAAAGGCAATACTTCTTGAGTCAATGGTCTTGTCCTTTGGCTGTGTGCCATGTTGAGGGCCTTTCTTCCTGTCCCAAGCACTCCCTTAGGCCATGACCTCCCTTAGGATATGGTAGAATGCCACACACGTACACGCTTCCATGACCTCGTTGAGATTGAGCCTTCATTTTGGCCATAGGGCATCCACTAAGTCATAGGGCATTCCCATGGATATAAGATGTGCTAAAAAAACATATTGCCTATTAGTTTTTCAGCATAATGTATACAGAAATTTACGAATTAAGAGTTTCTTGTTGCAAAAAGAGAAACATGGTCAATTTCAACATTTTTTTTCCTTTTATTGATCCAGGTCCTAGACAATGATGGAATAGCTTCTCCAGGAGCAACCATTAAATCCAATGATTTTTTAATGATCAAAGCGTCTCCGCTTGTCACAAAAGGGCCACTTGTGTCACCAATGGCACTTCCAGCCAGGTCCCCTTCGGCCTTATGTTAGTTTATCCTTCCTTTTTTATTAATGTAACATTTCTTTTATTTGTATCATATTCCAGTGCATTCAAGGTAATGAAACAACATTACAATTGTCCTGATGGACAAACAAGTTCAGTGGACAGAGTGGCTTTGTTCTCTGACAAGAACAACAATTTATGTGTTAAGTTTATGATTCGTCATACTCGAAGGCCGGAGGTACTCAATGCTTGTACTACACATGATTTTTTATAGGCTTGGAATTGTCTGGAAATGACCTTTAAGTGTGTGTTTTGTCCAGCTTGGTGATAAGTTTAGTAGCAGACATGGTCAAAAAGGAGTCTGTGGCAACATTGTTGCACAAGAAGATTTCCCATTTTCTGAGCGCGGCATATGCCCAGATCTTATCATGAATCCACATGGATTTCCAAGGTATATCATTAAATGTAAAACAGTAAAAGTATGAGTATGGTTCTTTGAAATTTCTTGAAATGTTTGTGTCTGATAAATAGTATTCCCTCCATCCCAAAAAAGAATTGTGTTTCAGGAATGTGTTTTCTTTTAAAAAACAAAAAGGTTGCAAAAAAACTTGTGCCTCACCCAAGGAATATAATTTAATTTGCCAAAAGTTGTCAAAAGGAGTCATAGACAAGGTACTTATGCTAAAAAAAGTTCACGTGATCACAAGAACCAATTAGCTTTAAAAATATGACTATGAGTCTATGACACATGATTTATGATAGTTGTGCCGTACAAGCATTTTAAAAATTATACTTTGCTCATTCATGAACTTTTTTTGGGACGGAGGAAATATAACATGACTATGATTCTGCTACACCATCCCCATCTCAAGCCTCAGGAATATTATCTTCCACAAGCTTGTTATGGAATTAATCCTGGATCCTTCATCGGAAATAACTTAAAAGAAGTGGTTTGAAACAAGAGACGACAACAGTTAAGCCTTATATTCCAAGTAAAGAATACTAGAACTATCGTCGGTAGCTTATCTGTCAATTATCCAAACCGAGATAGATTGTGAAGCAATAGCTGTTTGAGTCGGGATGATGGCGGTTCTGATTATTTCCAGCCTGTTTTCTTTGTAGCAGTTAAAAATTTAAGATTTTTTCCTGTTAAACTGATCTGATGATTCTGATATTCGAAATTATGACTATATGTGACTGGGTTCAAATATTAAATATTTGCTATTAATGTCAGCCGAATGACTGTTGGAAAGATGATAGAGCTTCTTGGAGGCAAAGCTGGAGTTTCTTGTGGTAGGTTTCATTATGGCAGCGCCTTTGGGGAAAGCAGTGGCCATGCAGATCGAGTTGAAACTATAAGGTGCTGCACTTTTTCTATCAACTATTTTTAAGTTCCAGGAATCTGATTCTTCAATAACCTTATCTTTCTGTAACAGTGAAACCCTTGTGAAGCATGGGTTTAGCTACAATGGAAAGGACTTTATATATTCAGGTTGGTTTTCTTTACTTCATCCATCTGTTTCCTTCCACTGTTATTTAGCTCTATGTGAACTTTCTTCTTACTTCCATTTCTTCTATGTAGGTATTGATGGTACACCACTACAGGCGTACATCTTTATGGGACCAATTTATTACCAGAAGCTGAAACATATGGTGAGACCCTGAGTCCTTAGATATCCTCTTATCAAAAGCCTGAGATTGTCTGACATAAAATTGTAATTGAACTCCTATTTTTGGTGGTATTTGTTCTAGTTTTTCCACATTTCTTCACTGGGACCAACAATTTTCAGTCTCCATACAGATTTATATTACCGTTTATGTATGCATGCCTTTTGACTGCCCTTATTGAGTATTGCTTCCATTCCAAATGTAGCTAAATGATTCATTTTTTACAATGGTTTAACATCAGGTAGATAATGAGCTAAATCAAAATGGCACATCAAAACTTCCCTTGCTTTGTATCTTCTACAAAGCTTTAGGCAGTAAATGCACTAATGCCTCTAAGGTCATCCAAAAAAAAATCTATGGTCATTGAGGGTCTTTATGGAAACCTCTGTTTTTTCACAAGGGGTGTATGGTTGCACACATCTTGACCCCCCAGACCCCAACGGTGTTGGGATTATAATGGGATTGTTTCCTTTACTTTTTCTGGAGTTTGGTCGTGTTCTGATATAATTTTACAATTTCTTGCGTCTAGAGAATAAAATGGCACCAAAGGCTTTTCTGTGTAAAAAGTTGACTTGCCTAACCTCAATATTATTTTGTTTAGTATAGGTAATGTATATTAAAAGTACCAATAATTAAATTATTGCCTCATTATTGGTGTTCAGGTCTTGGATAAGATTCATGCTAGAGGCAGTGGCCCTAAAACCTTGCTCGCAAGACAACCTACTGAAGGAAGAAGCAGAAATGGAGGCATGAAAACCCATTGATATTTATCTCTGGTTAGTCTTGTTACAAAAGGTGTTGGCTGTGAAACTCTTCAATACTTTATTATATTTCCAGGTCTACGTGTCGGAGAAATGGAAAGGGATTGCTTAATCGCATATGGAGCAAGTATGTTAATATATGAACGCTTGATGCTTTCAAGTGATCCTTTTGAAGTTCAGGTGAGACACAAATACCCTAGTTGCAAGTCAAGATAAAATTGCTCTTGGCGATGTTTGGAACTCAGAAAACTGCAGGGAAATGAAAAGAATTCTACCAAGGATTTTTTTTGTTGCTGTTTGTGTTTCGCATTGCAAAGTGAAAAATTGATTAACTTATTTTACACAGATGTTGATTTCTTTGCTTTTATTTAAAAGGAACATAAAAATAAAAAGAATTAGACAAAATATCGTTTCGTTTATTGAGAATTTGAACCTATTTTAAGTTTCCCTTATATTTTTCTTTCATTCCAAATCTCCCACTATGCATATGGGCTGGTTCCATGGCCACTCTATTTGTGTAGCCACCGAGGACATTGTTCCAATGAGGACACCTATAATGTTCCGTTCATAAAATTGATAGTTCCTACCCCCTATCCCCTGGTAAACCTCCCACCCAGTTCCGACTCTAACCCATCCCTCCACCCACATCAATTGCACCTTGCAAGTTAGTTGACTTTGAAGTCAAATTTTTGACTTCAAAGTCAACTAAACTTGCGAAGTGCAATTGTCGTAGGCGGGTGATGAGTTTGGGTCGGGTCTGGGTGGCGGGTTTACCGATGGGTAAAAACTTTCAATTTTACTAACAGAACACCATAGAAGGGCAGTGTCCTCTGTGACCACTCAAATAGAGTGACCATGGAACCGGTGGGCTATGCATATATGCCTTGATCAATGGTCATGTTCTTGTTACCAATATGGTCTTCTTCTTCACATTGTAGGTATGCGAGAAATGTGGGTTATTGGGATACTATGACTACAAGCTGAAAGTTAGCATTTGTTCAACCTGCAAGAATGGGGATAACATAGCTACCATGAAGCTTCCATATGCATGCAAGCTTCTATTCCAGGTAAATCATGCTGCTTCCATCTCAATCATCATCAACAACTAACTCAAATTCTAAATTTTTATTCCAGTCCAGTTTTGTATATAAATTCAAACAGTCGCCCTATGTTTTTCGGTATTTGTGGTCATTGCTCATTGTATATTCTTCGGGTATTGTTTCATTCACGCTTGAATTTTTGGTTGGTTTTCTTGAATGCAGGAGCTTCAATCTATGAATATCGTTCCTCGTTTAAAACTGAGCGAAGCTTGATTTCGGGAGGGAGCAAAAACACATTTTTCCCTTGTGTCGAGGAGAGAGAGAGACTGAACCATCACATTTGTGTTTTACTACGTTTTAGTTAAACATTAGCAACAAATTCTTGTCAAGTTAACAATACATGACAAAATCTTTGAGGTTTTGTCGCCTCTTCAGTTGTGAAACTATATATAGATGGAGAGTTTTATATTTGGTTGCAACTTTGAAAAAATAATAAAATTTAGCATCAATGTTCTTTTTTGCATGTACGGTTATGTTGTAAAATTTTAGATATAAAGGATTTGTTTAAAGAGAGCAAAATACTACTTCTGTCTTAGAATTTTTGTTCATATTTAATTTTTTACGGTCAAATTTGATGAACTTTGAGCATTAATTAAATGAAATCAAAATTAGATTTTCAAATAAAAATAATTTTATTAGAGTTATCTAGTAAAATATTTGTTAAATATTATTTTATCTAATTAATATATCATGAAAATTTTATTTAATTAAAGGTCAATGGTCAATCATGATTGACTATAAAAAATTAAAAGTAGACAAATATTTTGGAACAAAAGGAATACAAAATTTTGATTTTGAGCCTCAAGTATTATTATAATTAATTTTTCAGCCAATTCCTCCAAAGAATCAAAATTTCACAAGTTCTCCGAATTTCCCTTTTTGCATATAGAAATATGTAGTACTTCGTACTCTATAAAATATTGAACCCAAAAGATATGTTTATAGAGTACCAATCATTCAAAATTTTGATTTCAAATGCAAGTCCCTGGAATTACTTATTACCGTTATTTTTTTGGTAAATTTTATGAACCTACTAAAAAAAATTTGGTAAATTTTATAAACCTACTAAAATTTTATAAACTTACTAAAATTTTTGTACTTTTTTGACGGAAGCCGACCATAGGAAAAATTTTATCGTGTTCTACTTTTCACACTATTTGTCTTAGAGACAGTCACAACTCACAAATACAGAATAATGTTAGACGTCTCTGTAAAAAAGTGACTTTAAATTTGGGGTTCATTTTAACATTTTTGTTACCTGATTGATCATTACCCATAGATCCTTTTCAAATTTTTTGTTTAATGAAAGTTGGAAATAGGGGTGGACACGGTACCGGTACAGTACCGTCACCGGCAACGGTACCGCCGGTACCCGCCACCGTCACCAGCAAGGTCCCCGTGTCACGGTTTCCGGGAACCGGTACCGGTACCGCCACTTTCGGTACCGGTTCCGATACCTATTTTTTGGTACCGGTACCGGTCCGGTTCCGGTACCGGTATTTTTTTTTATATTTGAAAATTGAAATGCAAAAAAGTTAAAAAAAAAAAGGTGGGGGGGCACACCTCAAACGGCTATATA